AGGAAACAAATTTATCCTTTGAATGATGTTCAGCTTTTGGTTTTTCTTAAAAAAAGTATTTTTTTAATGGGTTGTTTTTTCCTTCAACATGTGCGTAATGTTGCAGGTGTTATATGGATGATTATACATCGCGTTTTTTGTTCTTCATTTTGCAGGTTTTCATTTCATCATGTGAATAAGTATTCTCAAATTTGTAATGAAATGAAATGAGATCTTTTGGGGAAGAGGTACTTCGTTATATTAGGTGTGAAAATGGAAAAATGTTCATCTGATTGTGAATGAATTTGTTCGAAATATTGCCGTTTTGATTCGTTAGTTGATTGATGGCTCAAATATCATTTTGATTAGAGTTACTAATTTGTTAATTTGAAAGAAATGCAGTTATATTTTGATGCAGTTTTAGGGTATTCATAATTTTATGATTGCAGTGTGATGTAAAGAATATGTGTATACGTACTATTCGAACTGTATTGAATGGCGATCGTTTCAGTGAGCGATTTTGAGTTCGGCATTTTCTGACTTATAAAATTTTTGATTCTTAGTGAAGTGACGAGAAATAATCGCGTTGAAGTAAACGTGTGTTTCGAAGAAACCTTTTCAATAAGCCACCACCCGAAAACTCTATCAGTAAGATCGTATCGAGTCGACGATGTCATCCATGGAAATGGGCATATACCCGTTTACGCATGACCAACAACCCTTAATGGATCATGCTCCGGATTTAGAGGTAGCTTGTTGCTTTCGCGTATATTGCTTTGAATTATTTCTGTAGCCTGTTGGAATGGTGTGTGACGAGGATTACAGATTGGAAATAGTGGGAGGGTGATTTAAGATACAATAGTAATATGAATGGATTATGATAATAGTAATAGCAATAATATTAATAATGTTGTTAGTAATAGTAATAGTGATAATGTCGTTTNGGCATAGCGAGAGGGTGATTTAAGATATGGTAGTAATATGAATGGATTATAATAATAGTAATAGCAATAATATTAATAATGTTGTTAGTAATAGTAATAGTGATAATGTCGTTTACGATATAAATAGTCATTGTAAATATGGTATAAATAGTCGCAGTCTCAATTCTGGTTGTATGAATGTTAATATTGATGAGAATATTGTTGATAATTAATGTAATGATGACAGTAATTATGATGGGAGTGATGAGTGCAGTGAGGAGTGTGATTTGTTGCAGGAAAAGGTACCAACCGTGTACGGAAATGTGAAAGTGACGATCTATGGTGATCGCAAAAGACATCCAATTGTAACATTCCATGATTTGGCCCTTGATTGTTGGTCTTCTTGATTTTTGAAAAAAAATTTTTTTGATGTTTCGATCCTTTTATTCGATACTTCTTTCATTTTATTCGCTTCATTCAATCAGTTGATTGATAATCGCCTTCACTTTGCTAATTGGTGCTTTTTTTCTTTCTTCTGAAGGGTTGTTTCTTAGAAAATCAGCAAAAAATTGTTTCATTAGAGTGTTTTTTTGTTTCAGCTGAAAACAATTTCCAAAATTTTTTCCAATTCGGCTCAGTAGCGGATTTCACCGAAAAATTTTGTGTTTATAACATTAACGCACCAGGACAAGAAATGGACGCAGCGCCATTACCTGAGAAGTGAGCACTTTCAACTGATATTCACGGAGAATTTTGAGAATTCGTGAGAAAATTGAAAAGTTGAAAATTCGATTGATGATTTGGGAAATGGAAATTTGATAGATTCTTGAGAGTTTCTGAAATCTAACTTGGAGAATTCAGAAAGATCTTTTGAAAGTGGGATTGATTCAATGAAATGGTCACTTTACTGGTGAATATTTGTTTTGGACGAGTTTCTCGTAAACAATAGTGAGGATTTTTTCGTGTTAATTTTATGGAAATTGAAAGAATGAACTTCAATGTGGCTTTGCTTGGGATGTATTGCTGTTGTTATGTTCATTTCTTATTGATGTTTCGTGTGGATTGCTAATTGTAAGTAAAATGCGGAATTTGTTTGCAGTTACGTTTATCCAACAATGGACGGTCTCGCAAAAATTGTCGAAGCATGTGTGAAGCATTTCGAGTTGGTTATCATTCAGTTTTGTACAAAAACTTTGTTGACGAGGAGATTTTTTTGTATTTTAATCGCACATGAAATAATTTTATTTCTCAATAAATGAGAACGTGCTGAAATGTAATTATTCAAATTGGATTCAATTAAACTTCGTTGCTCACGTGTAAGGATGATCTATGAAATTCTATTATGATTATAAGATCGGCGATTACAAAATTTAGTTTTAATGAAAATATGCATGGGATGGCGTTGTTTACTGCAACGAGGAGTTGAATTATTGAAGAGTATTATGAGAACGGATATAATTAACTTCGGAAAAAGGTCATTCAGTCATATCATCTTTTGTGAATAATAAATTAGAAAAAGAAGAAGAATAGGGTAGATTGATTGAGATTGTGAGTACTATTTAAAGCGAAGAAAATTTTTTTGAGGATAAAAAGTTTCATTGGCTTTGGTGTTGGTGCGGGAGCGAACGTGATGTTAAGATATGCGGTAAGTGGTTTGCTTTCCATTTCTTTGCATTGCATGTTTTGGAAGCGAATGATTGAACCGACAGCAAAACAGAGCGTATTCGCGCATGGTTACGTCCTGTTATGTAATTGTTATTGTTATAAGGAATTGTTCAGCGTGAAGTTCCATGAAGTTGTACTGATGATGAGTTATATTATGGTTTCGGTTGGTTGGGCCGTTGCAAAATTGCATTTTGCATTTTGTATGATAGCAATTCTTTTTAGCTGAAGCGATTTAGCATGTGAAATTTGAAATTTGAATGTTTAATCTTTGATTAGTGTATTGTGAAAGCAAAGGATTGTTGCAATTGGGTGAAGTCTCTCAATTGAACGATCGTTTTTGGTCAGTCACTATGAGGTCATTTCTGAGTTATCTTGAAGTAACATTTTTTAAGTTATGTTTTTAGTTAGGTTTGTGTATGTGCTGGAGCAAGGAGGATGGTTTGAATAAATGACGAAATATAATGTGTGAATTGCAGATGTTTATAGTTAATCGTGTACATTCGTGAGATGGATTGAAACACAAATTGTATTTATTATGCTATCATATTAAGAAGTATGATATGTTAAGAAACATTCATGTTCAGAAAACTAGATTGTGCTATCCGAATAGAATTTCATTTAAGTGACCGTTAGTCAGAGTATAATTGAATAGCAGAAATGAGCGAGCGAGTAAATAAGTAGTCAATGTGTTTGTGATCACCACAGAAATGCACTCGATAACGTGGTGAGGTTGATATTGTTGTTGTTTATCGTTTGGTGTGTATAAGGAGAAGATGGTGAGCGTGCGAAAGGGATGGATTGATGAAGATTTCGAGGAATATGCGATAGGCGTATGATGGATGATGAGAAAGAAGTATGCCCTCAATGACCGCTGCTGATAGTTAGCTAAGCGTAGAGTTGCAGGCAGTCAGCTGCAAGCTTGCATCATTCGCATATTATTTTTGTTTCATCGGAAACGGATAGAAGCAAGCCCAGAGCATACACCCAAGCTCATCTGCATTCGTATGAACACAGTATTATCTCAAAACTCAAGCAAATGAAATTATGGATCTGTTTATGAGGGAATAACAGCGTGATTGTGCCTGTGAACGTGAATAATGATTTGTTAAATAAAGGAAATCACCGCAGTTTTGATGATTTTCGACGATGGAAGAGAATAAAAGTTATGAAGTGGGAGTTTTCAGAGGAAAAATGAAGGGAGGAAGTTTTTACAGTGTTCTGAGCATAGTCATGGAAATTTTCTGGTATTACTGGTTTTGCTGGCTAGTATTAGTGAGGAGGAGACCGGATTTTTAAATGGAAAATGAAAAAGAAATAATCTGCAGATGATCCGATTGTATTATTCGAGAATATTCAATATTAGTGAACGAAATTTTGCAGTTGTTAGAAGAAACGAAGTTGGATGCGTTGGTGTTGGTGAATTGTGTGGGGACGACAGCCGGATGGATTGAATGGGGATATCAGAAGGTGATTTGTTGGGATAATTTGAAAATTTTTATGATCAAATTGAAATTTCTGATGGAAAAGCGGCGTTTTTCCGTAGAAATATGACTTCTGTGTTCCGAACGGATATTTTAAAAAGCTAGTTCATTTCTTTGTATTGTTCTGAAGGCATTCCTGATTCGGTGTAATGAAAAATGAGTAATGAGAGTGTTTGTTTGAAAATGAATTGAGTTTGATTTCAGGTCAATATGAATTACCTTCGAACTCATGGAATGACCTCATTCACAGTTGACTACCTATTATGGCATCACTTCGGAAAACATCTTGAGCAGTACAATCCGGATATTGTACGTCAGTATCGTGTCTATTTTCAGAACCTTCCCAACCCAACCAATCTTGCCTCTTTCATCGAGTCGTATTTGAAGTTAGTTTCAGCGAAATTTCATGCTGTTTTAATTTTCCCTATGAAGTCATAAACAGTGAATGATAATAATGTAATATCATTGTTAGTTCATTTCACGCGCAGCATGGATATTGAATGATAATAATGATTTTGGATGGTGGTGAGAGGTATTTCTTGAAATATGACACATTGTTATGTTGTTCGCCTCATATTCATTGAAATCAACTGAATTTAGTGCAGTTTTGTCGAGAATTATGTTTTCTTTTTTTTTTCTCGTAGCTTCGATCAGTCAATGATGTTGATGTTTATTGTGGGAATTACAATAGGACTCAATTTCTGTATCAGGAGGTATTGGGTAGCAATAGTATAGGTATTTATTTTATCTGATTTCAAGCATCCAGTTTTATTTTAGTCGTACGCCGTTACTGTTCTCTCGTGATGGTACGGCCGGTCCTACCCTGAAAGTTCCCGTGCTTCAAATCGTTGGCTCAGGATCAGCGTTTGTGAATGACTCAGTTGAGGTGAACGCACGACTTGATCCCGCAAAATCCGATTGGATTAAGGTAATGTAGGTGTTTTTTTCAAAAAAATTTTTTTGAAGAAGAGAAACGGAGTGGGGAGATGGATTCAGGAGCAGTTTACCATCAATTTATAATAATAAAATTCCTTTTCGTTTATTGTTCGCGGTGGAGAGTGTTACCATTTAGAAATAATAGCATACAAAGTGGATGTTTTTTTAAAATAATAAATGATGAAAATGAATAGAGTTAATGAAATGCATATTGAATATATTTTGTTAGTATCGTTATTGTTATTGTTAGTAGAGATGAAGAAATTGTTAAAATTATTTTTGATGCAATTATTTCATCGCACGTCTGTTCTGCATTGTAAGTGTCGCCACAATTTTGCAAGTTATTCAAAAGTATT